GTCCAACTGACAAGCCCTTGTACCTGCTTCTCCAGGATGTCTACAAAATTGGTGGTATGGTTCTGTTGAACAACTGGTATATGTTCTGTTGGCCGAACGGAGACTGGTGTTCTCAAACCTGGTATGGTGGTCACCTTTGCTCCAGTCAATGTTACAACTGAAGTAAAATCTATTGAGATGCACCGTGAAGCTTTGAGTGAAGCTCTTCCTGGGGACAATATGGGCTTCAATGTCAAGAACGTGTCTGTCAAGGATGCTTGTTGTGGCAACGTTGCTGGTAACAGTAAAAACGACCCACCAGTGGAAGCAGCTGGCCTCTCTGCTCAGGTGATTATCCTGAACCACCAGGCCAAATCAGTGCTGGGTATGCCCCTGTACTGGATTGCCACACGGCTCACACTGCATGCAAGTTTCCTGAGCTGAAGGAAAGACTGATCACCATTCTGGTAAAAAGCAGGAAGATGGCCCTAAATTCTTGAAGTCGGGTGATGCTGCCATCATTGATATGGTTCCTGGCAAGCCCATGTGTGTTGAGAGCTTCTCAGATTATCCACCTCTGGGTCGCTTTGCTGTTTGTGATATGAGACAGACAGTTGCTGTGTGTGTCATCAAAGCAGTGGACAAGAAGGCTACTGGAGCTGGCAGGGTCACCCAGTCTGCCCAGAAAGCCCAAAAGGCTAAATGAACATTACACCTGCTACCCTGGTCTTAATATCAGTGGTGGAAGAACCGTCTCAGAACTGTTTGTTTTAACTTGCCATTTAAGTGTAGTAGTAAAAGACTAGTTAATGATAACAATGCATCATAAAACCTTCAGAAGGAAAGGAGAATGTTTTATGGACCACTCTGTTTTTCTTTTTTGCATGTGGCAGCTTTAAGTTATTAGTTTTTAAAATCAGTACTTTTTAATGGAAACAACTTGACCAAAAACTTGTCACAGAAGTTTGAGACCCATTAAAAAAGTTTAATGAGAAAAAAAAAGCAGTAAAAAATAAAAAAGGTAAATTGTGAATAATATTATAGTCAACTCTTCCTAGTAACCATAACTCATCAGTTTGCCATTTTAAAACTCAAGTATAAAGATCAAATACAGGAATTAAGAGTAACTATTACAACAATCACAGAAAAGCAAAGTCTTGCTGTAAATCAAATAACTGGCAAAAAATACTGTAGCAGTTATTCCAGAAAATGCACTCATGCTGGCCAAAAAAAAAAAGAGGTCATTAAATCACCACAAATTAGTACCTTTCATTTTCCTAACTAGAATTCAGTAGAGATGGTCCTTGACTTAACGATGATTTGACTTACGATGATTCAACTTATGACTTTTCAACTTGATGATAATGCAAAAGCTATTCAGTAGAAACCGTACTTTAAATGTTGAATTCTGATCTTATCCCTGGCTAGTGATATACAGTAGGATACTCTCTCCTGATGCCAGAGAGCCAGTCATCCAACCACAAGGACAAACAATTGTTACTCTAGTGTATTGTACTGCTAGATGATTTTGCCCAACTGTAGGTGAATGTAAGTGTTCTGAGTGTATTTAAGGTAGCCTAGGCTAAAATATGATGTTCAGTAGGTGAGGTGTATTAAGTGCACTTTTGACTTAATATTTTCAACACAGATGGGTTTCCCATTGTATGTCAAGGAGAATCTGTATTTTAAAAAGAAAACAGCCAGGCACAGTGGCTCACGCCTGTAATCCCAGCACTTCAGGAGACTGAGGCAGGCAGATCACCTGAGGTCAGGAGTTCAAGACCAGCCTGGCCAACATCGTAAAACCCCATCTCTACTAAAAATACAAAAATTAGCCGGGGGGTAGCATGTGCCTGTAGTCCCAGCTACTCGGGAGGTTGAGGCAGGAGAATTGCGTGAACCTGTAAGGCAGAGATTGCAGTGAGACAAGGCTGCACCACTGCACTCCAGCCTAGGTGACAGAGCGAGACTCT